AAACTAGAGCACTAAGCAGCACTACCTGCACATTTATATTTAGTTAACAACTATAAAAACTGATTTTTAACCCAAGGCCATTTTCCCCAGTAGCATTCGGCAGATCTAGCACAAAGATCTGAGCATGGCTGCAGACATTATCCTGTGTGTGTTTTGCACGTGCTCACATAGACTCGGTTCACAGTTGTGGTTGCTGCCTGCCTCTAAGACTCCCTTGGGAAACATCTTCTACAGCTGTGAATAAGCATCCACTGAGTCCATCGTGTGCTGGTTTACTGTCCCCTGAAGCTGGCATTGCATTAAGCTCCACACTGGCCCAGGATCAGCAGGTGATGTGGTTAAAGTGCTGGATTCCCATATAGTTGACTGTGGTTTGAGCCCTGAACCCGGCAACTTGAAAATCATGTTGGGCACATGCACATATCAATGCCTAAAATCCTGAGAGGAGAATGGAGAAGAAGGGATTATAGCATGGCCATCCCCCGTGGGGGGGTGATTTCTCACTTTCTTTTTCCCTCTCTCCCTCTTTGTTTTTCTGTCTCTGGCAAGCCCATGCACCCTATGGCAGAACCTATTTTAAAAAAATAATAAATCCACATTGGCTTCTTCAGCTCAGAGAGTGAAATGTATTTTCAGTTGTAAGTTGAAACTACACGGAATGCAGTTTGCCCTTTTGCACATTTTATGGTCTCTGTGTAGTTTAAAAATCATGTCATTCAAAACATGACTATAACTCAGTGTTCCCCGATTCTGCCCATTTACCTCTCTGTTAGTTATCTCCTTTAAAGGTGCTCTTCTTTTTTTGCCCTCTCTCTCCATCCTCTTCTAATTGTACCTAAGTTCTCTTTTCAGCACCCCTACCCTGCCCTTCCATGTGGCGTTGACTAACGCCTTGGTGGCAATTAGAAGTGAAAGTGTTGCTGACTCCTGGTCTGTGGCACAAAGACGAGGTTTGGCATGTCAGAGCTTTTCTCCAAGGAGGAATTTGCTGTCCCTTAACCTCTCTGTAACTGGGGAAGAGTGTGTGCACCAGCCAACAGTTACTGAGTGTAGCAAACGTTTGCTGCTGTTCTAGGAAGTTCGGGAACCACAGCTGGATCCTTTGGCGCACAAATAAAAAAAGCTTTAGGAGTTGAACTTTATCTGCTGTGTAATCTAGAATATCTGGAATAACACAGAAAGCATTTATTTTTAATTTAAAATTTTTTTATAGCCACCCACTCTGTTTTCATAAATAGCTCCGCAGGGCATGGAACAGAACTCACCTTTTTGATCTGAGGAACTTTCATGGTTGGGTTCTTCCTGTTTTTTTTTTAATTCAAAGTTTCATGATATATTTAATCTAGTTTTAGTATTTATATATACTTCCTGAGTCCTTTGCTTATTGGGTGTGACTTTTAAAAATGGAAATAAGGGCCAGCCAGTGGCATGGAGGTTGGGACAACTAGATCCCAAAGGGTAGACTTTGAGGTTCAAGTCCCATACCTGAAGGCTTGAAAAAATGTGCCAGGTATGTGTGTGTGCATACCCAAAATCCTGGTAAGAGAATTGGGGAGAAGGGGTTGTAGGGAATCATCCCCCAGGGGGGTATGTGTTCTCTCTCTCTCTCTCTCTCTCTCTCTCTCTCTGTCTTTCTCTGGTGAGCACAAATACTCTAGAGCAAGCTTCAAAAAAATGTAAACAAGATGTAAAACAATACTTGGTGACCAGTGTAATACCCATGAATACAGTTTATTTCTTTGGTTAGTTTTATGTTTCTGTTTTTTATTTCCTTTTCCACTTTAGGAGGTTTATTTTTTTTTCCCACTTTAAGAGTTCTAATTGACAATGTAAATAATAGGTCTTTCTCTGTAACGTTCAACAAAAATGTGGCAGTAGAACCAGTTAGAACTTGTATTCTAACATTTGGACATGTACGTATAATCACAAAAATGCAACAGTTTTCCCCCAATTGATCATTGACTCATGTGCCTTCCCTCATCTGGAGAGTCTGAGTTCTGCTTAATCTGTGGACGAGGCGGGGATTGAGGAACTGATAGGCTACCGGAAACTAGAGGTGAGAGAAACTCAAGAAGCTACAGTAAGGTCACAGGGAAGGAGTCTGTGTCTCACAGTGGGCATAGGAAATTGGGATTTCCATTCGAAGTTTCGTTTTCTGCATCCTATTTTCAAACTAGTGTGGTACTCTTTTAGCAGGGTGGCCTGCAGTATGTCAGATCTGAGTTCCACCACCTCCTCCACTGTGGGTATCAGTAAATAGTATGATTCACAAAGTCGGCAATAATTGTCACACGCACTCCGGAATGATGAGCGCTGTCACAGTTTGCTGTCAGGGTATCAGCGCCAAGATATGATGTTTTTGATGAGTTTTGTGCCTTGTGTATGTAGGAGTCCAGGACCGGGGTTGATGGTGACAGTTCTCTGAGGGTACGGTGTGTGAGAATGGTAGAAAACATGCATTTCCCGAGATCAGCAGATGGCGTAACAGTTACATTGCTGGACTCCCACGTAGTCGACCACAGTTCAGGTCCCGGACCCAGCAGCTTGAAACTCACACTGGGCACCTGTGTGTACATGCCCAAGATCCTGAGAGAAGACAGAAGGGATTGTGGCGTGGCCACCCCTTTGCGGGGGGGGGGGTCCCGGACCCAGCAGCTTGAAACTCACACTGGGCACCTGTGCATACATGCCCAAGATCCTGAGAGAAGACTGAGAAGGGATTGTGGCGTGGCCACCCCTTTGGGGGGGGGGGTGATATCTTGTTGTTTGTCTCTCCGGCGAGAGCATGCACCCTATAGCAAAAATCTCTCTAATCTCACATCTGAGTAGTGGGAGGGGGATCTTCTTTTCAGGTTCGTGTAGGTTGGGATCTATAGGCGAAGTGGAATCCTTCCTAGTATGCCTAACAGGACATCTGCCGGGATCCCCTGGCACGATATGCTGCTTGTAACACTTGGATGACGTGCCACGCTTGTAGACGTCCGTGACTTTGTTTCACGGCCCCTGAGGGGTGTTATTCCCCTTTGCATTTGTCCCATCGCCCTCCTGTCCACCTTGGATGGAGTGAGGATGGACTCTGTCTTTGTTGATATATTCGGTGTATCCCATAAGAGTCCTGAAGGGAGCTGAGAATGAAATTGCAGAACTCTTGGCTCAGCTGTTTTGCCTTTCATAAACGGGCACTGTTTTACACGTTGGTGGTTGCCAGCACACAGCTCGGTGCCTTGGAAGGGAAAGTGGCATGGCGATCCGGAGGCCTGAGCTCTGTGTCCAGCCCACCTAGACTGGCTGTGTTATGTCACTCAGTCTCCCAGCGACCGCTAGGTCCCCAGCAGGATGTACTCCACAGAGGCTGCTGTGATCATCAGAATCATAGCTAATCCCCTCGGATTGGTTCTTGGTAGATGAACAAGTATTCTATGGACAGAAGAAATTTACTTAAAACCAGTTACACCATAATTTATTCATCGTTCAAATGATGTGCTGTAGAGACCAGATTCTGATACTGTTCAGATTGCTGTTGGTTTGCTCGCTTTTAGCAGGCAATGAATTTGTCCAGACCACATATTTACCGACTTTCTCTTGAGCAGTGGGTAGTGACTCTCACCTCAGTTCAGGTCTTCAATCCTGAGCAAGGCTGTTTGGGGCTTAGGCTGTGTATGTGAGTCTCAAGGGACAGCCAGAAATTTGGGTCAAGTTGATTCTCAGACTTTGGGGCTCCCCTTGTCCTTTCTGAGATTTCTCCTGTGCAGTTTGGCTGCCGAGGTAGCCCCGAGCCAGTCCGGGTTTTGATTCCACAGGTTCACGTGGTTTAGACTGGGCCTGCCCTTAGGCTTACAGTCTCAATAACAGGACACACACCCAGTGCTATACCTTTTCCTCCAGCCTGTCTCCCTGCTTTTCGTCACTCCCCAATGCTTTGAGAGAGTGACTTGTTATAGATGTTACTTGGGACAGGACTGATCCAGCGGGAAGGACCCGGCACACCGGACAGTGTCTGTTCCTTTACTTCTAGTACGTTCCTTGCTTTCTGATTCCAAGCCCACGTCTTGCATGGATTGTGTTAGTGTCAGCATTTTGGGTGTTTTTCATGTCCTGTTTTGACAGAAACAGGAAAATAACAAAGGGGCAGGGGTCTTTTTTTTTTTTTTTCCCTAGATGTTATTCTGCTCACGGTCTAGTTACTAGTTCTGATGAACATCCCTAGCTTACTTGTTAGAGACCTCCAAGAGGAATTTCCTGAGGTTCTGTTATGAGCATGAATATTTTTGACCCCAAATTCCCAGGTAGGCATTTGTCCTGTTGAGCCAGGTTGGACATGCTTGGACCACAAGTCGTGCTTTAGCTTTGATGGGTGTTGAGTTGTCCCGCATCGCCTGCTGCGTGCCATCTTTCCACTCTATGCCACTTGGCCCTCTGAGATATGGGGGGTAGGTGTGGGGGGTGTGGATTTCAGTGAGAAGAGAGACCGTGGCCACCTTTGAAGCCAAGCGGCACCTGGTCCTCTTACCGTATTAGCCGTTGACATTCCTCCAGGGGGCATGACCCAGAAAGCCTGGAAGGAGAGAGCCAAGAGAGCGGTGGCCAGTCCAGCTATTTATAACCCCTTCTCTCCTGCCTGCCACTGTGTATTTTTAACCCGACCAATGTGTGCCGGGATGAGGTGTCGAGCTCCCCTTAGAGGTTTCAGTGTGCCACAAACAGCAGTTCCTTAAGAAGCAGATTTGCCGTTCTTGCCAGTGTCTAAATTAATATACAAGATTAAAGTGACGCTTTGGTAAACGATGTGGACTAATTTCACCCCCAGTGCTTTGGGGACCAAATCTTTGTCTCTATTAGAAATGGCCAGGCGCCTTTTGGGGACACCAGCCTCTGGGTCTGTGGGCATAGCGTCCTTTATCAGAGACTGTTCTTTTGGAAATTCAGTATTTTCATATGATGGTGTTTCACACGTGTCACTCAGGCAACCAGTGATTTTATTTTCTCCTTGTATATTTCAGGATTTCGGAAAAACGATGAAATGAAAGCTATGGATGTTTTGCCAATTTTGAAGGAAAAAGTTGCGTACCTTTCAGGTAAAGTCCGCTTTCTGATCTGCTTTATCCAGCTGCTCTGATGCAATGGCAGAGTAGTGTGTGAAACTAGCTTGTCTGACACACACGGAAAATGTTGGCGTTTTGATGGATTTAGAAAAAAAAAAAATTATCCCGTAAGAGGGGAAGACAGAGAGGTAGACCGAGGCTGGCACCCCCCAACAAAGTCTTCACATGACCCTTGAACCTACCCCACAGCTTGGCTGGCTGGATCATGGGCACACACCTCCATGCCCTGCAAACATGGGAGACCTGGAGGCACGAACTTTGGACCTTCCCATGTGGTCTCTGCATCTCAGAGCGCGGCAGCACCACCCGGCCGGCCCGCAGCAGATTTTTAACTGCTTTGTTCTCAGAGCATTTTCCTGAGAAATTAGTGCCCATTTTCTCCCAGCTGGGAGGCACGGCAGAAGTCAGTAGCATTGGTGATCAAATACGTTTATGTTTGTCATTCAACAAATAGGATTGTTTTGTCCCAATCAGGTAACTGATTTTTTTTTGGAGGGGAGAGAGATTGTTGCTATAGGGTGCTTGCGCACACCAGACTAACAGAGAGAGACAGAGAGACAGAAAGCGAGAAATCACCCCCCAGGGAAATGGCTATGCTGCAGTCCTTTCTCCTTCATTCTCCTCTCAAGATCTTTGGCACACACACATGTGTGAGTTTTAAGCCACCAGGTCTAGAACTCGAACCGCGGTTGACTACGTGGGAGTCCAGCAACAAAACCATTATGCAATCTCCTGGTCCCAGGTAACTGATTTTTAAAAAGTCAACGTTTAGAGTTGGCCCCATAACCTAGTGGTGAAGCGAGCCCAATCTCACATGGATGACTGCGGTTTGAATCCAGCCCCAGCAGGTTACACACCTGGTGTATGTGCGTGCATAAAGTCCTGACTAGATGGAGAAATGGAGAAGGAATTGTGGCCTGACCACACCCCACTGAGGGTGACTTTCTACCTATCCCTCTCTCTCTCTCTCTCTCTCTCTCTCTGTGTGTGTGTCTTTCTAGTGAGCACACTTGTTCTCTGCCAATAAAAAGAAGAAAAGAAAGACTTTAAAAGTCAACATTTCAGCAGAAGTGGTGGGAAAGTGACCTTATATAGAGTGTCCTATATTTCTTACTGCTGTTTCTTGGACTCTAGCTCTTTGCGAAGGAAAGGAAGCCACTTACCCTTGAGGTCTCCGTCTTTAGGACTCCCTGGTTTTAGAGTCCCTAGAGCTCTCTCTGTCACTGACCCTTGGGTCCCTGGGATCTCCCCCAGCTGAGCCCTCCTCTGCGTTCGTCCTAGAACCGGGCCTGGCCCTCCTGCCGTGGTGACGGGCTCTGCACCAATGTTGGACTTTAGAGCCCCTGACTGCCCCGACCTGAGCACATAGGCAGTCGTGGTCGGGCCTTTCCTGGGTGTCTCCTTGGGGTCACCCCTTACCTGAGCAGAAAGCCTTTGGGATTTATACCTCTTGGGCACAGTTCACTTGCTACAAAACGAACATCTGCGAGATGTGAACTGCTCCGTTTTACCAGGAAGTCAGGCTGTGGGCTGCCACGTGCTTCCAGGCAGTCTTCCTGGGCCTGTTTCCCTTGATAAATGTTTATCTTCCTCACCCTGGAATACTAGCTGGGATCTGACGTACCTCTTGAACACACTTTATTTTAATCTGTAACGCTGCTAGCTGTTTTCTTGTGTTTTGTGTGAATTAAATATATATAGACCCGCTGGTCTGTATGTGGGGTGCAGCTTCCTGAGGGGTTTTTGCTAACCTTGCTTTGCTTCATGTCCTTTCTTGGGCCCTGCTAAATACTGTTTGGTGATTCTCCAGAAGTAAGTCTAGTTCATATTGGGTTTGGAAGGTTAGTCAAAAAATGTAAGTACATGAGAAGATGTTTTAAATGATGGGAAATAAATGTAAAAAAACAAACAGAAAATTCCTGACACAGAGTTTGGAAAGTAACTGGTGTTGGCTCTTTTGTAATCATTAACTGACAAACTGCATAAATCCCAGCTTTGGGAACTCCTGATTTGGGTAGCTTACAGATAGATTTTTGAAAGTTAATATAAGTAAAAGGCTCTACTTATAAATATCCAAAGAAGGCTTAAAGAAAACCGATTGCTCATGTTTTTCAGTTTTGTCTTCTTTTTTTTTTTTTTTTTTTTTGAGAGGTTTTTATGCTAAAGGGTATGTGCGCTCGCCAGAAAGTGAGAAATCACCCCCCAGAGGGGATGGCCATGCCACAATCCCTTCTCCTCCATTCTCCTCTTGGGATCTTGGGCATGCACGCACATGTGCCTGGTGTGAGTTTAAGCTACCGGGTCCAGGACTCGAACCGTGTCGACTACATGGGAGTCCAGCAACATAGCCATTATGCCAACTGCTGGTCCCCAGTTTTGTCTTCTTAAAGCCTGGATCTGTGGGGCCAGCAAGTGGCATGGTGATTAAGGCTCTGGATTCCTACATGGTTGACTACAGTTCAAATCTCTGACCCAGCAGCTTGAAAATCATGCCGGGCATGTGCATGCATGCTCAGAATCCCAGCAGAATGGAGGAGAAGGGATTGAAGCATGACCGTTCTCCCTGGGGAGTGGTTTCTCACTTTCTCTCCCTGGGGAGTGGTTTCTCACTTTCTCTCCCTTTATCACTTGCCCTGTAGCAAAAATTTCTAAAAAAAAAAACAGAAGTGTACAACTCAGTGGATTTTAGAGTATTCACAAGGTTGAGCAGCCATCACCTCGTAATTCCAGTTCCATCTGGAATTCCATCTGGTGTAATTCCAGAACATTTCCTTTGCTTCCCAGAGAAGCCCACACCCATATTCCTGCCCTCATCCCTAGCAAGGATTCATCTACTTTCTGGTCTCACCTCAATTAAAAAAATACACAGGAATATTATGCTACCTTTGTATGCAAATGGATTTTGTAATTCAATTTAAGTAGAATAGCAGTGTTTTCTGAAAATGCAGGCCAAAACATCAGTGATGCTCAGAGATACTTATTAGGTCTACTTTCTTTAAAAGACTACTTTACTTTCTTTAAAAATTTTAATCCTGGGGCCAGCAGGCGGTGTGGTAGTTAAGGTGTTGGATTCCCACATGGTCAGCCACTGAGTCCCAGATCTGTCAGCTTGAAAAATCACACCGGGAACATGTGCGTGCATGCCCAAAACCCCCGGAGGAGAAAAGAGAAGGGATAGTGGTGTGGCCATTCCCTCTAGGGGTTGATTTCTCACTTTCCCTCTTTCTTTCTCTCTCTAGCAAATGCATGCGCCCTATGGCAAAAACCTTAAAAACAAAACAAAAAACTTTTTTATCTGGACATATTCGAATCTCCGAAAGGGAAGAAAATGCTGTAATTAATTTCCGTGAACCCATGGCTCAATCCAGCAGCCTTATTTCATCTATGCTTCTCTCCCCTGGATAAGTTTGAAGTAATCCTCAGACATCAATCTCCTTATTTACAAGTATTTACTATATATCTCTAAAAGATTAGCTTAAAAACTCCCACTATATTAATAGATCTAAAACTGCGGTGGTGCTTTTAATATCCTAAAAATAGCCTGCAATATTCACATTTTCCTGCTAGTCTCATCCCCCTTTTTTTTTTTTTTTAACAGATTGTACATGGTAATTTATTGAGATGTCTGGTAAGCGTCTTTTATCCATAGGCTCATCCTCTCTCTCACTGTTTGTGTCTTACCCTCTTAAGTCTGTTAGTTGAGGAAAATGAGTGTTTTCCCCTAGATCCTCTACATTCTCAGGTTTGCTGTTGCCTCTCTGGGTGGCATTTCAACATGTCTCCCTTCCCCTGTATTTCTTGTAAACCAGGGGTTACGTCTTGTCGTTGGATTAGATTTAGATTACTTTTTTTACAGGAAAAGAAGCAAAAGAGCTTAATGGATGGCATTGTGTAGTTCTACAGGGAGGTTTTTGGGAGAGTCTGGTTGTGTCTCTTGTATGATATGAAGCATTCATTAATGATCATGACTTAGATCTAGCGTTTTATTAGGTGCCAGAATAAGGGATATTCTAATTATATCCTTTCTTCTTCATTTATTGACTTGAGAAATTCCATCATCACTTTCTTGATTCCTCTGAGAGTACCACTTACACAGAAAAGGCAGGATATTTGAGATTCTTGTTCTTCTCCACTTTGTAGATTACTGAAAAATGAGATTTTTACAAAAATCATGTTAAACTAATGATTTTAAATATATTTGACATGTTTGGATTAACTGCACATTTTCCTCCTAAGGAGTTAGAATGTTCCCATCTTTGGCTAATGGCAGCCCCTTCCTATTGGTTTTCATATCCTTTGATGTTGTGTAGAAACCCAGAATCCGGGACCAGCAGCTGGTGTAATGGCTGTGTCGCTGGACTCCCATAGAGTTGACCATGGTTTGAGTCCTGGACCCAGTGGCTTAAAGTCACACCGGCTTGTGAGTGATCCCCCCTGGGGGGTGATTTCTCACTTTCCGTCTTTCTGGTGAGTGCATGTGCCCTATAGCAAAAACCTCTTCCAAAAAAAAAAAAAAAGAAAAGAAAAGAAAAAAGAAACCCAGAATCCCTGCTGCTGCTGAAACAGAGGTTGTGGGACCATGTATTCTATTTCTTGCTCTAGATCCTGGGGCCAGTCATTTCTCTAAAGGGCCCTGGTTCCTTCTAGTGGGGAGTGGACAGGTTGCTAGGGATGCTTGGTGTTGGTGGGTTAGTCACTGTTTCTGTGCCTCATTAGTGGGCAAATATATATGTATATTTCTAAGTAAGAAATGGCATCATGACATCCTATTAACATTTAAAGTTCAAATTTAAGATTGCAGGTCTTACTTTGAGTGTATGTCGTGTATCTTTTTTTTTTTCTTTAGCTCAATATCTTAGTTCCTACTCTCATCAACATAATTATTTTGTTGGTAATACTGATAATATTACCACAGTATGACTACCCAATGTAATTTTCCTTTTTGAGAGAGAGAGAGAGAGAGAGAGAGAAAG